CATTTTTTTTAATTTAAATTTTAAGATTTTTTGAGAAAAAGCCAATAATTTTAGAGGTATGGGCTAATAAAGACCAGCTCAAATAATAACTCAATTATTTTTTATTTTATTTCAATAAAGTAATGTGCACACAGTCTAATAAAACATGTTTTAAGCATCTGTATCGTGGGAAATATTTTTTACAGGCTTTTAAAGTTTACGAAAATGATGAATAATTAACGAAACCGGTTTTTTTACGTCATTTAAAAAAAACGGCAGGTGGTGTTTTTGTTCAAACACTTTTAAAAACATGCTTGGTTATTGCTGTTTCATTTAAGGTATCATTTATGCAGATATCTTACAAATTCTTAAAATTAGGTCCTTTTAACCAAATTAAAGGCGTATTTAATTTTGAAGGCAGAGTAATAAAACAATATTTTAACTGAAAGCATGTGTTATTTATTGATGTTCAAAATGACCGCCGCGATTTCTAACAAAAGCACGGGCACGTTTTCTTATTTCTGTAGTTGTTGTTTTCAACATCATTTCCAGCTTCATGGTAGCAAAAGCCGAATTAATTCTTTGTATTAATTCTTCTTTAGTGTTTATTTCCACACCCGTGTACACTAGTTCTTTGGCCCGACCCCACACAAAAAAGTCCATCGGGGTCAGGTCCGGTGACCGAGCGGGCCAAGGGATGGGCCCACCTCTGCCGATCCAGCTTTGAGGGAAGGAATTATGTAAGTGTTCTCTTACATTTAATGTCCAATGCGCTGGACAGCCGTCTTGCTGGAAGATGATTTCCCGGTCGGTATCAAATATTGGGGTACCAGATTCCTCTGCAAGCGCTGGAAAGTCGTTTTGCAGAAATTCTAAATAATTATCACCATTCAGATTATCCGGTAAGAAGTGCGGACCAATCAAGTTTCTGCCAATTACTCCCGCCCAAACATTGACAGAGAATTTCCTTTGGAAAGTCACCTGCTTTTTCCAGTGCGGATTATTATCCTTATTGGCCCATTGATGTAAATTGTGAAAATTTGTAATTCCCTCCCTAGAAAATTTACTTTCATCCGTCCACAAGATTGATTTCAGGAACCACGCATTTTCAATGTCTCCATTAAGGAGCCAACGGCAGAATTCAATCCTTCTGTGAGGATCTTGCTCTTCCAGACCTTGCACACCTGTTCCGTGGAACGGATACCTATTATTAGAGTTCAGTGTTTTCCACACTTTCCATTGGGAAATGTTTAGATTTCGAGCTATTACTCTGACGCTTGTTCCAGGATCCGCTTCAAATGCTGCCAAAATATCTTCCTCGGTGCTAGTACTGTGTCTACCAGGATTGACTCCAGGTTCCGCACGGTGTATTCCACTTTCAGAAAGACGACGAAATGTGTTGTAAAACACTCTAACGTGCGGCACCCTGCGATTCGGATAGCGCTCTTGATACATTCGCCGCGCCAAAGATCCATTGCCGTCTGCTCTTCCATACATAAATACGATATCCGCATATTCCGCATTTGAAAAAGTAGCCATAGTCAATTCAACGCAAGTGAATAGATAATAGTCTAAAATCAACACGTGCAGGAGCGCAAAGGGCTACAGCTGAACACGGTGAAGGTGAAATATCACGAATACGGAAATAACGTCTAGTAACACGGGCAGTTGTCACTTGACTAACTAAAAATGTGACGACTCCCTTAATACTCTCCCTACTCCTGGCTAAAGAAACGTCGTTTTAGCAATGTTCGCCATCCTCTATTCACCTGCCTGGAAAACCCCAATTTATTGCCGTCCTACTCGCACCGTGCGCATTGGCTGTTATTTGGCGATACCTTACGATTATTGTACACGTGCGCAATAAGTGTTAGAGTTGCTCTCAGTTATCATTTCCAACTAAAAAATAAGTTAAATGACTAAAAATTATGTTTTATTCGACTGGTTTGAAAAATAATTTTCTTTCTCAATTTGGTTTGTAGGTCCCAATTTCAATAATTTATTACGTATCTGCATAAATGATACCTTAAAAGAAACAGCAATAACCAAGCATGTTTTTAAAAGTGTTTGAAGAAAAACACCACCTGCCATTTTTTTTAAATGACGTCAAAAAACCGGTTTCGTTAATTATTCATCATTTTCGTAAACTTTAAAAGCCTGTAAAAAATATTTCCCACGATACAGATGCTTAGAACATGTTTTATTAGACTGTGTGCACATTACTTTATTGAAATAAAATAAAAAAAATTGAGTTATTATTTGAGCTGGTCTTTATTAGCCCATACCTCTAAAATTATTGGCTTTTTCTCAAAAAATCTTAAAATTTAAATTAAAAAAAATTTTTAGACTTCGTCTTAGACAACCCTACCTAAAATGCTTCTAATCTAAATAGTCTATGCTACCTTCACATTAAAGCTTTGCATCGACCTTCCAAACACCCTGTATATTATTTATAATAATTTAGTCTAAAGTTCTTGAATTATCCAAATCAATTAAGCTTCAAATAACACAATGAAAACAGTACTAGTCATATGACACATTGTCTTCAATAAATATTGTTGTACAATTTTGACTTACTTGCAACTTGGCCTGTTCCGATTCTCTTTCCTTAGTAATAGACTTGAGGAGATTCATAGCCCCGATAGCAGCCATTTTTTGCTTCTCCACATTATCACCAAGTTCCTTGAGAACTTCTAACAGTGAACTTATAATCTTCCCAAAATCTTGGACTTCTATAAAGGACAAAAAATTCTACAATAGATAAGGGCAGATCCTATTTAAGGGTTTCCTGTTCTATACATACTATACCTAATAATCTTACTTGATTCGTACTCTTTACAGGTATCTTTCAGATCTTCTGTTTCCTTGAGAACCGATGCTTCAAGAACTCTAATCTTATTGATATCGTCATAAAACAAATGAGCCTTTTGCAATTCCTCTGCCATATTTAAGTTGTACACAGATTTAATTTAACTGATGTTTAACCTTTAAGACTAATACAAAGAATCCTCTGTAATAATACATACACTACACTATGAAAAATCTCACGAGGTAAAATAGTGCGGATTTTTTGTTTATTTACTAGAAGTGGTCGCATAGCAACTAATGTATTGGGATCATAGAATTTGTATCATTGCTGGTAGATTTATTTATTGAGCATTGGCTAAAAAGCTATCAACGTAAAAATAAAACAATTAATTTAAAAAATTTAAATGTAATGTAAAAAAACTAAAAAAAAAAACAATCTATATTTCTTGATAAAAATAGTTTTACTGTTTAGAGTCTGCATAGTACAGATTACAGCGAACTGACGACTGTCTCACAGATAACTGTAGACAATCTATTCTATTACTACACTACACTAGGCAGGCTTAGCCAGTGTCAGTTTCTATCGATATATATCGAGCAGTCTTATGGTGACCACTACTATAAGTCTGCTCGATATATATCGATATTTCAAAAAAATATCGATGTATGCCCTCGATATATCGAGTCAATTCGTTTTATTATCGTATCATTCGGTATCGATATGTATGTACTATCGATATATTTTGTCCGATACATGAAAAATCGTACAAAGTTGAAAGTACACAATTCAAAACTGTATTTGCATAAACGAAACGCACTTCGAGCGCTCATTCGCTGGTCATCCGTCAGTGTAACATAGAGTTTCTGTTCATAAGGGCTAGCCGTATATATAATAACATTGACAATAATATTGCTTGTGCGCAGGCGACGTTGTTGTGTTTTCAACACTTAATACATAAACTTGGAATGTCAGTAATATTGTACGTGTGCGGCTAGCCAATGACAATATAAAAATAAGATATACATTTGGTTGTTGTGTCAAAACTCGTGGTTTTACTTATTTACTCTTAGTAAAGTTTCCTTCCTTTTATCTTTTTGAATTATTTACGATATATCGAAAATATCGATGTTTTGCACCGATATATCGCAAAATATCGATACAAGATTTCAATATATCACATCGGAAAAAATTGATATATTTTTTTACGTGAACACCACTAGGTCACTGCATCCTTCTAGACATGGGAATAGCGTTACATTTCTATCGCCGTGACTGTCGTTCCGGTTCCAAAAAAATCACAGTGATAAATCATCGTGATTTTGTCACGACTGTTACTTCCGTGACCTTGTCACGCCTATAACTTACGTCACGATAAACGGTTTTAGCCAGCGGCTTCTTTCTAATACTTATAGCCGTATTTTATAGATTCGATTTAAGTTTTTGCTCCCTTTGTAATAAGTTTCAATTTCATTCAAAATTGATTTTGTATTTAATGTAATTTTGTTTGTTACTTATTTAATACGAATCTTTGGATTGTTAAAAATAGCAATAAAGTGTAATGTAATTATATTTCTAGTAGAATACACAAAGTAGATTATACAAAAATATAAAATACCAACTCTTCCTATAATAAAACAAATATACAAAAATATTTTACTTTGTTCATAAATAGGTTTATAATAACTGCTGCAGATTTTTTTCATCCGCCCTTTCTAGTAGTAATAAGCACCTACGACACTTGTGAGTCAGCAAAGAAAGTCATCATATTTCATTCACTCCCATCGCCGAAATGGCCTGATTTGAAGAGAACTACAACGAGTTTTTGTAGTTACAGTTTGTCACAAATTAATTTTTAATTTTAAGTATTATTACGTTTTAAGTTTCTCAGGGTCGTATTCTAGAACTGTACTCAATGCTCAAGTCAGGACTTGAGTATGATTCAAAGCACTAGAAATCATACTCATAACTTGAGTATTGCAGTGAGCACTGAAAATCATACTCAAGTCCTTGCCACTAGTGTCGTATTTCCAGTGCTTGAAATCATACTCAAGTCTGCTCAAACCCTGACTTGAGCATTGAGTAGAGTTCTGGAATACGACCCTCTGTTGGTTGTTTAAGTTAAGCTGATGGTTCTATAGCCAATGCTCAACAAATAAATAATAATACTGCATCCTTCCATCAGTGTCAGTTAATTGTCAAAATAAACATTCAATCAAATCAAAGAGTACTATTATTACAAAAGAGGAACCAACCTTCCAACATTCAATGGAATAGTCTTTGCTCTTTGCCAAATATTTACTTGAGTTGTATTTTTCTCTCGTTTTGTTATTTGTAGTGAAATAATTCCATTGTTGACTGGCAATATAACAGCCGAACAAAACATTGGTACGAGCGTACGCCTATGGATGAGTGTTTTTACTATTGTCAATAGCTATGGAGGGGCTGAGTCAGAATGAAAAGATTATCTGGTCATGTTGGGAGGACAAATCTGCCAGGGATGTGGCGAGAGAAGCGGCAGCGAAGGGCACACATATCGCTCTTGCTGTAAAGTATCTCATGAGTAAAAACAACTGGACTGAAGAGATTGCAACTGACTGGTTTTTAGCCGAGGTCTGTATGTGTAAACAAAGGAATTTGTTGCTTATATTTGATTATTTGTTGTTGCAAAATGCATGTATTTGTAATGTCTTCACAAATAGCGGTTTTATATTTCTGTTATGGTTAAAATCAATATAAAACTAAATAGTTCGCAATATTTAGCAAAACATACTTATTTGATTTGCTTTTAAGGTCAAAGCATGGACAGTTCAACTTCTACTACGAAAACAGATTTTCAAAGTACTCCACATCCTAACCAAAGTGAAGATAAATCCTGAAGAACATCTGATGACCTTGGCTTATGAGTCTCCACAAATAGAATATAGGGACTTTATTGTAGAAAATCTAGAAAAAATGGTTAAAGACATGAAGGTGGACAATTTAGAGAAGTGGCATAATTTCAGAAGACATTGGAATTTGTTGAGATATTTGGAGAAATCTTTTGAATCTGAGGGAGTTTTTAAACAAAATAAAGTCTTTGGTGGCAATAAAAACAGAATTTATGTAAATGAGAGTGAGATAAAAGTTTTGACAGTAGAAAAAATTGAAAAGTATCCTCCTGAGTGGAAAAGCAAAGTAGCTACTGCGTTGTTTTTTGATACATTTGGTAAGTTTTATAATGAATATATTGGATTAATTATTGTTGTTAACATAAGCACCCAGTAACTAGGTACTGATAAGAGAAATAATTTAGATAGTGCACATTAAAATAAACATATCAGAGCAAAAGTGGGTTATTAATACTTTGTTGCATGTTGCGTATTTATAGAAATACTGTTTAGAAAATTATTTTTAACATGATCTTTTTGAAAAATGTCATTTTCCGACGTCTGGTATGGAATCTCCTTTACTCAATTTGGTAGTACATTAGGAGCTTGCTCTATAATAAATATAAAAAGTGGCTTGCTCTATAATAAATATAAAAATATTGAATGTAATATAATATATAATAAAATATAATAATATAGAAAGCAATGCATACTTTATAAAGTATGCATTGCTTTCTCAAATTATTGACAAAATAAATGTAATGCTTCATCAATTTGGATCATTTTTTTTGGGAAACCAAAAACAAAGAATTTGTTTGACATTGTACCACTGAAGCATTCATACAGCTCTGATGAACATGCATATTAATATTATTACTTTATCTACATGCTACAATTATTATGGATGATTTTCTTCAAAATTAAATGGGACCGCTATGGAGGTACCCTCTTTCCAAGAAAAAAATAATCATGAAATTCGGTGCACAAATACCGGAGTTAGCACGTAACATACATACAAAAAAAACAGTCACATTGAGAACCTCCTCCTTTTTTTGAAGTCGGTTAAAAATTCAGCTGGCATCTTGAGTAATAACGTTGTTGTAAATTGAAGTTGTTTTTTAACCAATTTAAATAAAAGGAGTAGGTTTTTAATTCAGACATACTTTTATTTATGTATGTTATGTGATGACTCTGGCATTTGTGAACCGATTGTGATGATTCTTTTTTTGTTGGAAAGTACCCTCTTTCCTCAGTATTTAAATTTGAAGGAAATATTCCAACTGTAAGAGTCGCAAACTAGGGAATGAATCCGGTTTTGCGCTCTTCTCGGCAACCGATCACGATAAAACTTGGCAAATAGATGACATTCCAATAAAAAAGCCAATAAGCAAATGTTTAAGTTAAGTTTCTTTTAAATAAAAAACTTATAATTATTAATACACAGATCGAAAACACTTAGAAAAAATTCCTGTGATCCGGCCGCATTTGAACTGACCCAAACCAAACCAAATGTTAAGCTAACTAAGCAGACCTCACGAATTTTGCTATGTGCTTGTTTGTCGGATCTTTGCATTTGGTTATTCAACTAGTTTTTAGCGCGTAGCGCCATCTATGAGAAATCTATGATAGTTTTTCGTCACCCAGTTAGAGACCTTTACAGCTACCAGTCCTGACTAGAGAAATCGCTATTGACTTTAATTAAATTTGTATTGAATCATATGATGGTGATATCGATTATTTTTTGTGAACTTACTCCACAGCGTCTGCCACGGTTTGCTAGAAGACGTCGGTTTCAATTCAGGCTGGATTGAAGGAATTTCTTTGAAGTGTTCGATCTTTGTATTAATAATTATAACAAACTAGTGGAGTAATTTCACAAAAAAAATTGAATATCAATTCATTACAAATTTAAAAAAGTAATAATTATAATTTAAGAAAGTTGAAATATTGTTACAACCTGTATAAAAAAATCAATATTTTCTTTCCAGAGTTCTCTCTTCTCGATTTCTCCTCACCCTTAGAGGTATGGAATTATTTAGTGCAACACAATAAAGCCATGATTTTGGTCCGTTGGATCAATGTGCAAACTTCAGAGGTAGTTAGGGACATGAATGCTCGATACAACTTTTTTAACAATGAAGGGTTTGTCAAAAAACTGCTTAATGTTGACACTAAAGGTTTCCAAAAAGATATCCTGGTCAGATTAGATGAAATTTTTCGAAATTGGCCCATAACTAAGGACATGATTGACAACGTCGTAACCAGTGATTGCTTCGCGTTTACAAAGATGTGTATTTACGACACATTATGCTCGTATGGTATTGTTAATGAAGACGAGAAAAATAATCTGTATCAAATAATATCAAGACTTGCCAGAACTCAGAATTTGAAACTTATTGATGACATATTCACTGAATCTTGTTCTACAATAACAAAACAACACTTTTACGTGGAGTTAGCAAAGTATTGCGTTAAAAATAATCTCTTTAAGGTACTGACTATGTGCGTTGAGGGCAACATATTGGACACTGATCTGTCAGATGTGGAACAAGAGGCTAAGGATTGTATTGAACTTTGGTTGCTTTTTAAGAGTATAGAACAAACTTCAGATAGACAAAGCCATGTAGTTCCGGTCTACAAGACGTGCCAGCAAATAGCTGGGGAAAATATCGACAATTACATCTCATCAAATCCTCATTTAGTACTTGGAATGATCTTACTTGAAGACAATGCTAAACTTTTTGACATATTTTCAAAGGAAGATTTTTTACAATTCAAAGACTTTAAATTGCCAAATAAAGGATACAAAGACAAGCTTCCGCATCTATACAATGTTTACAAGAAATTTTCAGATTTAAATCAAATGTATGAGTCAAAAGATGTCAATGTGTATCAACTGTTATCTGGCTATCGCGGGCTTGATGTATCTAAAGTATTTGAATACCAGCTAGTGAATCAGAACACGAGCAGTTTGATCAACGAGAAACCGGATCGGCGCAGTCTAGGGAGCTTACTGTCGAATGATGTGGATGTAAATGCTAGTAGCATTAAAACGCTGTCGCAAAAATTCATGGATATGCCAGATTTTGCTAATGAGAAACTGATGAAGAGATATGGCTACGTGGCGAAACTTAACCATGTTTATTACTTGAAACAGTACAGACCTTGCAACGCGAGTCAGGCGTTTGTAGCGCAACAATATCAGACGTACAACAGGCTCCAAGAGAAAAGTATAAAAAGTGCATGCTGTGAAGGCCATGCTTTAGCTTTGCAGAATTGGTCTGATCCTGCTATGACTGCGTGCGCTATTTCTTTCGTTGCTATGATTGGTTGCAATCCTATGAGATGCAGAGTCCACATGTCTGCAGCGAAATTGATTAAGAGTTACTTGCTAAAGAATGGTGAAACTGAAGACAAAGCAAATAAAATCGTCAATGAGTACATGTCCAAATTGGTACAAAGTAATGACGAAGCTACTAAGGAAATACTTCAGTACTTAGAGGAAATAACAATAAAAAAACTCATAAAAAATTCAGAGATTGATGGCAAGATCGAAATGTCGACAGTATTGTATGAATCCCAAACGATGGTGAAATTTGCGGGGTTGCACAATCTTCCGTTACCAGAGTTGCTCTTAAAAGAATTCATAAGGACAGATTCATGGTTCAACTTTCTCCTATTCGGCGATGTGTTTCGCTACCCACTGTCGCAAATGCTTCAACTTTCGCAGGGGTTTAGGAAGAAATCTTATTCTGAGCACTTGAAATACATCATGTTACATAGGAATGTTGAAGAAATGTGCGAAAAAGATTACAAATCTCTATCTAGCAATGGGCAAAAAAGGGCTTCAAGGATGAACTCTATTGATGTCGTGAGTAGTTCTTAGTTCTTTTTATCATGAAAGTGTAACATGCATAAGCTCGTAAGTTACACTGTTGTCTTCTTCGGCAGAGCCCAAGCCCGTCTCCATCGCAGAATAATGTGTTTGAGTTCCCTCCAAGTCTGTATATGGGAAAAGAGCTGTGGGAAGTAGCCGCGGCTTGCCACGGTCCAGAAGATCCCCCAGCCGCGCTGTTGAGGGCCGCAGATATGTATCGAGAACCGCTTCTTGTTCTTATTGCAAGTTGTTATGAGGTGAGTCGTAAGTCGTTCTTTATTTCGTAAAAAAAAATTATGTTATATGATACAAAAAAAAATATTTTTATGACGCCCTATAGTAAGTACTCTCCTCTTTGCCTTGGAATCTTTAAATAGGACTACGTCGTTTCATGTACAATTCTCGTAAAATGTTTACTCTTTTCTTTCCTATAAAGCCAAATGCCGTAGATGTACTATTGCCGCAATGGATTCTATCCTCTTTGCCTATTACACGAGCTCAAGAGTTCCACCGATCGGCTGCGGCGCAAAGTGCCCTAGGGGACCTGTTTCAGTTAGTTGCAGAGTTATGTCTGCTAGAAGGCTACATTTCCACTCTGCATGAATCTGTGGTGGTATTTATGCCGGTAAGTATTATTAACCAAGTCGCTTTAGTGATTTTTAATTTATAAATCTAGAATAACTAATGTGCTTTTAAATCTGTTTTTTGTCTCCAGGAGAGTCCTTTAACAATCCTAACATCATTCCTCTACCGCTGTATCCATCAACGTATTTTTGACTCGGAATCTGTCAAGTTTTTGTCTAACTTTCTCCAACACTGTCAGCGCAAGTACAGCATGGACACTACAGTTGTACCCTTCCAGTTATCCAAGGAGGCACTGCAAAAGTTGGCAGTTTCGCTGTTGAAGATTGCGTTAAGTCACAGTTTTGATAGCGCCTTCCATCAAAGAGAATTTCTAAGGTGCTTAGCTACGGCGCAGTTTGAAAAGGGGCTTATGGGTTTGTGTTTTAGTATATTTTTGACATTTCTATATATATGTATATCTTTCGCTTTGTTTATTTATAACTTTTTCAGTACCATCTCCCAACTTCATCACATTGTATGAGATTTTGCAAATATCTATGGAGACGTCACTTGTCGTGAGTATATCAAAGATGTTGCAAAATGATGCGCAACAATACCTTTCTCAATGCGTTGAAATGTATACTGCAAATCGAAACTACGACGTTGCTCTAAAAATAGCCAAACTTACGGGACTGCAAACGAATGAAATTCTCATAGCGGAATGGACGCATAAACATGAAATGCTACACATGAAAGAAGATGCAGTCGAAGATAAAGATCTCACATTGTTTATAGCTCAATGCAGTGAAGCGTTTAAGAAAGCAACAGTGACTTTTGCTAAGGCAACTGATTTTCTCATCTATCATGTAAAGGGGATTTCGGATTCTGTTCAAAAGTTCTATAGCTACAGAATCGTTATGAGTTGGTTCGAGGAAAACCTTGAGTATGGACAGAGAAGAGAGGAAATTGAACATCTAATGTGGAATGCTTACTTTCAAAGCGAGTCCCAAGACGAAATATTCCTCAATGGCTATCAAAGTACATTACATTATATACTAAACGGACAAAGAGATCCTACACTTTCAAGGAAAATTGGACTTGTGAATGCTGAGAAACCTTTTTCTATGCTGCTTGGTGAAATTGAGATTGAGTCTGATGTGGGGAATATTGAAAATATTGTTGTTTTGGAAGAGCCTGAAGCTATTGACAATTGGAGGAAGGTGATGCACAAACTCCTCGAGCTGAAGCGGTTAGTGGAGGCGTTCAGATTATCAGCTCTGTTCAGGACTCCTCCCGAATACAGGTACAGACCACCAGCGTGCCCAGTTACCATTATGAGAACTTGCCTGAAGCTTGCTGAAGGAACTTGTTCCCCTTACGAGTTGCCTCAAGAGTTGAGGCTTGTGATATCGTCTCCTTTCATGCAAAGCAAACTATCACGTGAGTGTTCATAACTTTTTTTTGAGTTCATTTTCCTGAAAGAAGATTTGTATTGCATTCTTGCGTACTAGCCTAGTTTAGTAGTACTGTCACCTTACAAATTCCTGCGGCGAAGGAGTAACATGAGCATTAGGTGAAATTACAGGCACATGGGACTTGTCATCTTATCTCAGTCTCAGTCTCAGTGCGACGGCCGTAGTGGCAATGCCCCTTAAGTCTTTGCGATGTAAAGCTCTAAGTGGCACTGCAACTGCTATGGAAAGGCGTGTCGCTGGTTACGGAGCAAGCGCACGACTAGTTCGTCTCGTCGCGTGGTGTCATAAAAAAAAAGTCGGGACAGCGCTTTCCTACTATGTCTTGCCTTCCATTCCCACTATTGATCACAGGTTTTACCCTAAAGTAAAACATCGTAATAAAACGTCTAAGACATGTGAAGACTCAATCCGTTCATTAGTTAGGCCGTTTGGCCTGCTTGTTGATCTATAAGCCAAATTTTCTTCATGGAGGAGCCCTGTTCGTACGCTTCAACTTTTCGTAAATATTGTCACGAATACTTGCACAGCGTTTGGAATGGATGATCGATGTCCTAAAATAAAATACCTTAATTACAATACTTTAACAAGGTTATGTCATAAATCGTTTGGTCTTGCTAATGACCACCTTGTTCGAATTTATTACAAAATATATCTCTGTATTCAAGACAAATAAATGATTATTGTTATTACTATATTTCTTACTTACATCAACTTTTTCTCCATATCCCTCGGTAGTGGTCGATTTTTTTTAAATTTGAAGAAAAATGTCCACCTAGGAGTGACAAACTAGGGGAAAATATAAAAAAACCGATTTTTATATTTTTCGTACATATTAATAGTAAAACGCGATGATCAGTTTCAGAGACATCCGATGCTAGTTTTGAAGAATTAGTTGTGATCCAAGAGAAGCAAGACGTTGCGTCTGAAAGTATACCGCACTTGGCCGCTAGGGAAGAAGCTGACCGTTTGTCCGCGCTTGATGCATTGGCTGCTCGGAGTGGTATCACAGTTGCGAAGCAGGTAATTTGCAGACAAGACTTGGAATTGTACAATTTTATTAATTTCAGTAATCGAGTATATAATCCGAAATGAAATCAGAAAGGGCCATCCATTCCTGGCAACTCATCAGTCAAATGGTACTGACATCACTTTTATAGAAAGCTGAAATAGTACAGCGCCAACAACTGGCCTCTATGTATGTCTCCGTATATTCCAAAAATATTCTGTATTTATTATAACAAAGATAATATCTCTAACTATTGGGGGCTGTTCCATTCGGTGTTGTGGGAAAAACAGGAAAACATCTAATTACAAAACAAACGGAATCAAATTTCATCGGTTAGTAAATATTAAATTATGTAATTTTTCAGTTTTCGTCCATTATAGCAAAGCTCAATTTAAACTCGTCGATTTAAAGTGAAACAATTTACGATGGTCAATTGTTTCGAATTCGGACTGGCCAATCGGAGCGCAGTTGTCACCGTAATGACATGGCAGAATAGTTATCAAAGAAATTAAATGACATTTCTTCTATATTTCTGGTTATATACTCGATGATTTCATTATTTCAAATTATTTTTTTATTGTAAACAATTTAATAATCTATTTTCAACATTGTGACCACAGGTGACAAGCTATTACCGCATAGCGTTGCAGATCGGGTGGTCATACAATGCAGTGTTGAAGTATCAAAATCATTCTGTAGATTTCATCAATTTAGTAAGCGGGCGCGCGCGCATGTTGCTTGCCAATCTCGTTTTCCGAACCTTCAATATCCCTTCTAAGCAGGTAATAAATCATAGTTGTTTCTAGATAAGATTATTTCATATAATTTGATGAGAAAATTGAAATGTGAACGGAAAATATCTCGAAAAATATGAACTGCCTGGATCCTCAGTCTCACTAATATAAATATAATAACAACCACACCAATTACCTGGTCTCAAACTAGGAAAGTCCCTGTATTATGAGTACCAGAGCAACGGAATTCACCCTGGGGAAATATCCGGAACACCAAGACCAGAACCAATATAGAAGCGTTTATTTCCCAAATTGGTCCAAACGGAAATGGAACCTGGGACCTCCTCATCCAACACACACAGCACAAACCGTTGGGCCACCGACGTCGTCGGTGTTTATTTTATATATAAGTGTGCATATGTGTGTATTCTAAGTTGGCTATTAGGACGCCTTCAAATATAAATAAAATATAAATAACGCACACACTCAACATATCATATCATATATATATAAATAGACGCTTATAGAAGTGCTGCAGTGGCCCCACTGTCGTGTGTCGCGCGTGCCACTTTTGCAGTCACAATAAAGCGCAAAACACGCAGAGAGCGGGTGCGGGTCGGGCGCGGGTCGGGCCGGAACCGAGCGCGGGCGCGAGACGCCATATAAATACATGGAATTAGACCCCCCGCAATCCCGACCCGACTCGCGCCCGACCAGCACCCGCTGTCTACGTATTTCACTCTTTAGTGAACTAAAAATTACAGAAGCGCGGCTGCCGCGTTACGGTCGCACCACTGCAGCACTTCTACAAGCGCCTAATTTGAAGGCGCCCTTTAGTAGTATATATTTTAACAGGTCGCAGAATACCTATGTCGCGAAATGGTTGCCGCTATAATATCACCTCATCTTTTAAAAACATCTACCTTTCGTCAAAAAGAACATTTCAAATATACACTTTGGGGCTACACACTTAATTCGGACATTGAGATGTTTCTTAACATGAGACCTGACGCTTGCAGCCAAATAGGCAGGTTCATATTAGACCATTTGATGGCATTCCAAAAGATATACAAAGCCACAACAGCATCAAAACTTCCAGAAAACTTGCTGGATGACAGTAATTTAGACGTGGAAACTTTAATTGACGAAGAGTATCAAAACGTTGAAAGAGATGATATTTCGTCAGCCCAATCGTCGGTAGTGACTGAGGAAGGAACTTTGATGTCTGCTGATACAGAGTCCGTGTTTTCGATTTCTACGGTTTACACTGTCGGTCCTAAGATGACAAGAGACACGAGAAGAAATCTGTTCGATGTAGTTACTAGAAGAGATATTCACATTCCTTACGAGGTTAAGTCGAATATAAGGAAGATTACTAAAGGAGCGAAGTTGTCTACTAAACAGGTAAGCTTAATTTCGATTCACGGTTTAGAATACACACACGGTTTGCTGAATATTTTATATTATATTAATAAAACCGGAATCAATTCAGTACCGATGAAATTGCTATATTAAAGGGTGGTGATAGACAAGACAACACCGTATAATGTCTTGTGTTTTCATTTTATGTTAGGCTTGATTTGAATATGTCGGAAGAATTAGAAAATCTCGTGGAGTTACGTCTTTGATCAGCCGATCGTACGTCACAACTAATTTTCTGTAACATTTGACATTCGTTCATGAATTAAATTTATAAATAAAATTGTATTTATTTGACATGCAAAGGAAACATGAACTAACTACATATATAAAAAAAACATAACTGTAAAAGAAGAAGATGAAAACAAATTATCTATAATTGTAACAAATAAAAATAGGCATGTAAAAGAGCGTATGATGACTCACATATAAGAACTATATCCCACGCTGTTATTCTGCCATGGTTTGTCATGGAATAGAGCACATCAAATAGATTATATACATATTTTATCACAGATTAAGTTCAAATTGTACATTCGAACACTAAATAAATTATTTTCTTTACCATAGTACCATTAGACAGTTCCATTGATGGTGCAGAGGCAATTTTACATTGACATAAATAACCATTAGGCAAAGAAAACAATCATCAATCAATCACAAATAAATAATAATCCCCACGTAAAATAATGTAATTAAATATTTCTCAATACTAAGCATAGACCATCGATGGCGTTGACCAGCATAGGACACTAATACTTACGTTCCGATATTGTTTTTCAAACAACCACAGAAATCGTATTTGATCGTTACCCAGGTGAACATAATCTCAATCGAGCTTCTAGTACTAGCACACGAGTGCTTCAGCGGCGCGTGCGACACTGAGGGCGTGGCAGTAGTTCTCGTATCGGCCGCGGCGCTCACGGCGCGTTTGCTAGCTTCACGTTCATGGCGACTCATGGTGCGACTGCTGTGCGGCCTCGCGAGATATACAGAGTGCGCTTATGTCTTCCAGGTATGAAAACTGCAATTAATTATTGTTTCTTCCTTGATATTCAGACTTCACAACAAGACAAGCCGAAGGTAATACCTCCAGTGTTACGTAAATTGTTCAGTTTCAAATTTTTTATATTTCTCAAGTTAATAGGTAATTTTTATTTATTCAATATCACGATGTTTTACTACATTGATTTTCATGTGTTTTTTGTGAAAATACACTACTAGTTTGTTATTATTATTGATACAAAGCTGTAGGTGAGAGGAAAAGAACCTTGCGTCCATGTTTTGGAATTTAGATGTTTTTACAAACATTGATTTAGAATGCTAAAAATAAATCATTGGTAAAAGACATTATTGTCCTTTTGCACTAAACTTAAGTACGTCTTAAACCAATGCTCTATAATAAGACATTTTTAACATAATGTATTAACAGTGTATTTTGCATTGCATGCACTGGTTGAAGACGCACTTAAGTTTAGCAAGTGGACATTCGTTCTATCGTCGTCTGTTTTTTTTATTTAACTTTGACATTGGTTTAAAATGCCCAAATTAAAAGACACTTGTCCACTTGCACTAAACTTAAGTACGTTTTAAATCAATGCCTAAATTGATAAGACACTCTTCACACGATGTATTAGGAGTGTCTTATACAATGCAAGCATTGATTTAAGACGTGCCTAAGTTAGTGCAAGAGAACATCATTGTCATGAAAACGTTTTGTTGTAAAAGTTACTAAGTTACTGTAAGTTACTATTTGGCACTTAAGGTACTTTACCTCTCACTGACAGAGAGATCGAACGCAAAGAAAATGCATATATTCTAAATTAGCTCAGATGGTTAAGAGCGGTGGCCCTAGCATGGCAACAGACTCTGGTTTGGGTCCGGTAATTTTTTTTTCTTTATGTTTGATCTTTGTGTCAATAATAATTAGGTAATTATTCAATTTGACACTGCCTAATACGTTCTAGATTATCGACGCCTTATTATCTCAAACTCGTATCTTATAAAGAGTGATTATTCAGGAGATGGCGAAACTGTCTATTTATTTTAAATTTCTTATCAAGGGTGTTAATTTGGATCCATTACTTTAAGAATAGGTAAAAGTCATTGCGTAAACATGAAGGAAATGTGATGTGAAATCAGTCTGCAAAATTTGTATATACAATCTATTTTTTTGCATTTCAGTAACTTTGAAATATAGATTTTGACATAAATTTTTTACATTGATAATTGTAAAGTTTTAGTGTTATTATCTCATTTCAGGCACTACGCGACAACCATCAGTTCGAGTTCCTTCTCGGTCAATTCGACTACATGCTAGGTCAGCAGCCAGAAAAAATAGCAGAATTTAAACAAGGACTTCTCGATTTTCTCAAAACCTACTGTCCTGGTGACACGGATACTTACATCATGGTTGCGTTGCACTTCAACATGTACGCAGAAGCTGCTAACGTGAAGAGGAAGCAGGCATACTCGTTGATCGATGATTTAGAGAAAATGGCTTTAGACGCAGCTAAGGCAACATCGAAAAAACCTTTTCAGCAACCTACGTGGCTTCAAATACATGATAACGCGCAGACCCGTTTGTTATTAGACACTGCCTTGAATCATTGTACTGATGCCTCTGAATTGTATCTCCAAGGAGGTTGCATGGGTTTCGCGGGTGAAATGGCAGCGCTTGCGCAACAGATCGCACTACAAATGTCTTTGCTGAACGCGTCACCTACGAGACTGATACTGAATAGAAGTACTGAGCAGATGTATAGGCTTGTTAGCGAATATTTGAGGTGAGTTCAGACTCAGAGTAAATGGATGTTACGTTGTTGTATTTGATAGCAGTAGAGCTCCTTGTGAGAGTTCGTCCAGAGACGTACTGCTGCCTTACCTAATTCTGGCGCCAAGCACTAACGTGAGCATTACTGCGTTCCGGTTTTGAAGGGTGCTGATGAAATCACAGGAACGTTGGACTTGTCAACGTCATGGTGACGGCCACAGATCTTTACGATGTATAAAACTGAGTTGCACTACAACTGTTATGGACAGGCGTGTCCCTTCACTTGGTATCATAAAAAAAATAGTGCTACTGGCAATATATGTGTTTTAGTGATATTATTTAGTAAATGGGTATTATTTTTAACAGTTTCATGGAAGGTCTTGTGCTGCTGGCCGGCCGCGGCGGCGAGGCGTGGCATGAACTCGCATACCGGCGCACGCTCACCAACGACCAGGCATACTTGCGAGACATGGCCAACTATCGCCCCGACATCGCGCACCAGTTTTTAAACAGGTATGTTATGGAGTGCTAATCGTAACGTCACTGAACTGTTATTGGCAACTATAGTTGCCAATGACGCTGTTGCACCAAACGTTATTGATAACTATGGTTGCCAAACAAAAACAATACCGCCGCTGTCCACTTTTTTTCTGCTTATTCCAGTGCGGTACCTCGAATTGCCTTCAAATTTTTGCTAGTATTTCTCAAAATAACAGGTAATCACTTGAAATTTTCAGACATCCCTACCAAGCAAAGATAAAATAGAAAATAAACGTCAAAATTACAACTTGTGGCGCGATTGTTGACATTGAGTGATAGCTGAAGATTTCGACTGTAATGAATGCCATTACTATTTAGTTTTGCAATTATTACCTATCAAAATGATCGTCAGGTGTACTTTTTCCGATGGTGTTAAAACTTTAACATTTGATATCATATTGGAATCACATTCTTAGAAAGTCATCAAAGTGAAGGTCCTTGCACCTTGGGATTGTTTTTTAGAAAAAAATAAACTTATTCATTATTAAAAGACTTTTTGGAGTAAAATATCACTCAAACACATAACTTTATATTGTATTAAATATTTATATTGTATTAATTATAGGTTGTATTAAAACCTTTTTTAGGTCATTATATTGTGAATATTGGTAGGATTCGTAAATTTTCTTCCTCGCGATCTTTGTTTTTTCAGGCCATTTTCGCAAATTTTCCGCAAATTCCGCCACTACCCGGGATTGTTTTTAATTTATTTTAAAAATAGTAAAAAACTATTTTGCATATGATTCTAATGTTAATTGATAGGTATTTAAATGCTCGTCACCTTTAAATATGTTTTGTTTCTTAAAAAAATGAATATACGAGTAGGTAAGAGTTAAATCGTAAAACACTATGAAAATTTCTCAGAAGTATTCAGAGTACTCGGAAGTTAGCAAATAAAGTCGTCGTATTACAATCATAACTGTAGTCTAAACAAAAGCTACATAAGTGCTCTTATCGCTCATGTAATTTTTTTACAAGTAAGAAACACTTCATCTAATCTCTATCGTTTGTTTTATAATATCAGGCCACCCAGCTTATCCTTGGAAACAGTTTACCGAAATACTTACTACTGTTGAAAGATGTCGTTTAGGTATTAAAGAGACTGGATGTGGCCAATACACATGTAATTTTCCACCTGTTGGAGTGAATCTGTACCCGGTGACAGAGAAAATTTTATTGCACTTCCAGTCTTGATTGCACAATTACAGCTAGTATTTGTTTTGTCCACATTATATGGCGTTATTTATGTCCGTTTTTTCACGCCAAACTTAATAGATGACGCTCACTAATCAAGGATACCTGACTAATTTATAATTTTATACAAAATCCCGTGGAATATGTTAACACAATATCAAAGTATATGGTTGAGAGCTGTCACTACATCGTCGCAAGAAAATTTTATCGCCCCATGTACACGTTAGGTTTTTTGGATAACTTTGTGGCCACATGATCTCAATATTTTAGTAGGGCTAGCACCAGAGGGCGCGACTTGCGCGAGAACGACATAAAGCGCGAGATACTGCTATTCTCGCACAGAAATCCCTATTCTATTTTGCTAGCCCTGCTGAGAGCTTATTTTTTCATCAAGGAAATTCTGTATAGTAATGTCGAAATATTACTTGCACAGCTTCGTTTTACCGCTTCATCGTTAGAGTACAATAGTACAAAAGAGCGAACCGTCTCGGTAACGCACGTGCCATCTGTATAGTACAAATAACTAGCTTAAATACTTTTACGCATTGGCACATAATTCTAAAGTTGGTAGTCTTTATGTGGAATTATTAATATTTTACGAAGTACCTACAGTTTAAAAAAAAGTCCCTGTGAGTAAAGAAATCATTCAAAACTAGAATTTAAAAAAAGCATTTAGCGCATCCATAACTTGTATAGTCAAGAGCACATCAAGCTTGACACTTTGTATTGGATTTAAGTCATAAGTGTAAAGCTTGACGTGCTCTTGATCCTGTACGATGGACCAAGATCATTAAGTTCATGTACGTTTTATGTAAAAGAAGTATTAATGGTTTTGTTACCCTATTATAATAGAACGGATAACAAATAATAATTCTTTAACTATACCAAATTATTGTTTTTTTTTTCAATTTTGCCCAACAATGGCTAAGTGGTAGAGAATATTTTATGGTAGGGTTTCTTAACCGTTTTTCTAGTTATGGACCCCTCTCACATTTTCAAAGAGCCCACGCATACTTTCCGAAAAGATGAAGAAAAAAATTCAAAAAGCCCACGCGAAAATTCAAGAAGGTCACGCGCACAGTACCTAATTACTCACAGAATATTGTAAACGATTTTGATATTAATGCATCATGTTAGGTTAGCTCGCCATGGATCCCCGGTGTTCAAAACAGGGACCCCTTAGCGGCCCATGAACCGCAGGTTAAGAAACCCTGCCTTATGGCGTTAAGTCCGCCGTGTATTACAAAATTAAATTGATTGATTCTTTGACTAACGGTTTAACGGTTGGTGTTTGTTTTTCAGATATAAAACAGAGAAGAACAAAAATTCGGTGTCTCAAGCCGCGATGACTGAGCTACGTAACTTGTGCAGATGATATAGGATTAAAACGTAACCTAACGGCCGATCTCAGTATAGTGTTAAGGCCGGCGCAGACTGACGTCGCGGCACGGCACGGCATGCCGCGGCATGTCGAAGCATGTCGAAGCGAGTCGCGGCATGCCGAAGCGCGTTGCGGCATGCCGCGGCACATTCGCTGCGCGCCATTCGCCGAAATCGCCGCCGCACTAGTTTCAAACCTTATTTCAATTAGTTTAATTGTCATAATTCTGTGACCGACGTGACTTGCGGGACGTCTGTGGAATGAAACGGCATGCCACGACGTGCCGCGGTATAATTGTATCGAAATAAAATAATATGAATTTTAACCTCGATGAAATAGGATAAAAATAACTTGATTAAAAATAAAATCCTTTGCCGTGCCGTGCCATGCCGCGACGTCACTCTGCGCCGGCCTTAAGTGTTCATGTTATATTCCAAAGCATTACGAATATATGTAATGGACACAACGTACTCTCTTTATTACTGAACGAAACAAAATCGGCAGCAGTTAGTAGTACTTATTAGGAAGTACTCCGGCCTTACCTATTTCTGCCGCCAAGCAGTAATGTGAGCGTTACTGCGTTCCGGTTACGAAGGGTAAGGGTACTGGTGAAATTACAGGCACATGGGACTTGTCAACTTGTCTCAGCTTAATTTAAAGCTCTAAATGACACTACAAATGTTATGGACAGGCGTGTCGCTTACGTGGCGCACGACAGGTTCGTGCCGTCACTTAGTATCATAAAAAATGTCATTATGCATTAAACATTTGGCTTTGTTTACGATTATGATAGTTCCCATAAAGTTCATATTATGTTCTACTACGATCCTTTAAAGTTTCGCTTAGTAATAAAAAGTAACTCTTTATATATAGATCATGTATATCAAATCAGAATGTATCTTATCTTCTGTGTATTCCATATAATAAATCTATATTATTTATTTGAAATTCCTGGCAAGTTAAGTCGTTTACTGTGATATATTGACTGTTAAAATGTATTCATAGCTGTATATTTTGTACCAAATATAAGTAATAAATTGTTTATAATGTATTTGATCTGTTTATTATTTGTGGATAAAATATTTTTGTTGGGTTGTGAAGCCGTTTTAGTGTAATGGTTTGTTGATCTACCGCCCCTTAAGCAGAGGTCGTGAGCACGAATCTGGGCTCGCAACTCTCATCTGAGTTTCTCGGAATTTTTGTAGTTTCCATTATGAATAAAAAATAGTTTTCCGTAAAATAAATGTTTTTCCGGATATTTTTCCAATAAATTTTATTTAATTTTCCACATTTCACGTTAATACCTGTTAAAAGTTGAAGTTACTGAACGAAAACTATGGAACCAATATATAGGTTTTTCTCGCTATTGTGAAATGAAATCATTTTAAATCTCGTTTTTCTAGTATGTGTCTTTTAACTATACAAGTTTATTTCATAATTCACGCTAATTAAACTTCAAAAGATATTTCTAAATGTAGAACATAATATAAGCCTTCGAAATTACACATATTTTTCCAACTTTTCAATCTATTTTTTATATTCCAATTTTTAAATTCCATTTTTTCAATTCAACTATTTCAAATTTTTTGAAATATTACCCAACATATAATATATATATGTATATAATAAATAACATACTCTAGTAATAAGAGTATTACTAGAATAATAAAGAAACGTTATTATATTATTATGAATTGCAGTTTCCAATTTTGTCCTCCTATCATAACTAAAGTAATCGCCATTTTTAACGAAATTGAGTTTATAACATATCTTGGATCAGAAAAACGAGATCTACAATCCCATTTAATCGGTTTTTGATGCAGTAGGAGCACGAGGAACAAGGAAAAATGTGCCACACTCGATTCGTAGCAAGGATAAATCAGTTAAAAAAAAAGAGGTTTACTTAAAATAGATTTTAATATAAATTAACACAAACCCAACACGTGACATCGGCTATATACTACTACATACAGAGAGAGAATATAAAGCCCTAATTTAGGGTACAAGTGAAAAGAACCTCAGTCCTTCTAATACTTGAACTTGAACGACCATTCAGCACCCTCTGGACTATTTCAAACCAAACTGCGGAAAACTGCGCGTGTGTTCAACTACAATATCGTACGTAGCAACATGGTAGAAACCAATACCGTTACTAAATGAAACAGCCTACTTTTGGGAAATGGCGCTTAAAGTTTATGAAAATAGGATTAAATTTGAAAAAGCAAGGTTTTAAATTAGCGATGGTATTGCTTTGAACGTGGGATATATTTTTCCAATGGACTTTATTCGTGACTCTACAGTAGGTTTTTCAATTCAGCCAATTTGTTGCTATCGTTTTCCAATAAAACTTACTCCTTGGATGAATTTTACGGCTATATTATATAGTTCATGCTTTTAACCTTCTAAGGCCCTGTGTACATCAAAATGTACACGTGAAGAGATTCAGACCCAGACAATATTACGCCCAATGTACATTGTAATGAAAATATTGCATGTTATGACGAAAACGTGTTATGATGAAACGAGTGTGTATTTGCTGGAGGTATATCTATATGCGCTAAATGCGCTTTTTCCATTGTAGTTTGTTGGGTCTTAAGAGGTTTTCATATCTTGTAACTAATAAATAGCGCCAGTGTTGTACATCTACCTGTGTTCTAATTGTTAGAAAACCGTATAAAATAAAAATATAAGTTTTGGCAAGTTATGCAATACAGCCCTACCGATCACAAGGAAAACTATAATTTGGCACACATACAATTTTCATTTGTTGAAGTCTCTTGAATTTTCACGGTATTTTTCACTTTTAAGGGTGCGTACAGATTTGTCGAATGCGCCGCAAATGCGCCTGTTTGTTAGAAAGGCTCGCGAGCTGCATACGTGCATTACGTTGTGCGATATGGTCGCTTTCACACACGCATTCGCGGCGAATTCGCCAGTTCTGTACGCACCCTAAGATGCCTCATATTAAAATACGCGACCGTAACCAAGTCTGAAAAATTAAAATGTTTTTTAACGTTTCCGCAGTTTAACTTGAAGAGAGTTTTAGAAAATCATATATTTAAGTAACAAAAACCATTGGTTTAATGTAACAGTGCTCTATAAAACTACACGAAATTCATTATGAGAATTCTCAAAGTAATATTCAACAAAAGGGACGTAAACTTAGGTGTCGATTGTGTTGCCTGATCTTAATTTTACGACTAATTTGCCAAAGTTGTACGGAGAACAATGTGTTATGATAGGAGGCAGATGGATGTAGAAGATACGGTGAAAGAAGGAGTGATCAGCAAATGATCAGTGGATAACTGATTTTAGATTGAATGCAACAGAGTCAACACCAAATATAACATATAAATTATATTGGAAGTACAAACGGCAATAAAATAAATAAATAAACGTCAGTTTGTTCCATCTTCAATCATGTTATAACTTATTGATCAGTATCAGATGACGATCAACAACTTTAGGTCAACCTTTGAAATTGAGAAGAAACCCTTGAGAAGCGATGGCGAGATGTTACGGCAAATTTTATATGTGGTTCTGGTCAACATAGACATAAATAATCGTATCTGGTAAATAGAAGTCCAGTGAAAACTGAGAAGGAAAGAAATTATTATTTTTTGTTTTCATTTAGAGTTTAAACTAGAAAATCAAATGCATCTTTCCATCTTAAGACATCTACTCATTTACCTATTTCTAATCACAAGGCACCACACACACTCCTGCTCCTATGGACTGAGGGGTATCGTGAATACAAATGGAATGTATCATTTGAAGTAAATGCTATGTACAAACCACAGAGAGACGAAACTCTGTTCGGTTTAAAAAGTTAATGCAAAGTTGTTCCCGATGGTAAAGTATAGTCAGCCATACAAGTTACACTAATTTTTTGGTCCTTACTACACCGTTTTTGTTATTATAGCATTGCAGTTTATTTATAAAACGTGAATTGGCAACTTTCTTACTTTATTGTGCAGTGTACTGTACCTTGAAAAAGTGGTAGAATAGGTGAATATTAAAAGTAAAGTTTCATAATAGGTACTTAGTTACATACTTAGAAAAATCTATTTGGCCTACTCATGTAATATAACGTTAAAGTTCTAAATTAGGCAATGATGTTATGAAGGTTGTGATGGGGTAAAAAGCTTCATCAATAATTTATTTCTAATTGACTCCGGTAACACGTTAATCTACACTATTCTAGTTATTGTTCTTAGTGGTACTTTCACAAGATTCACACGTAACACTAATTTTAAGTGTAATTATGCTGCTTTCTAGAAAAAAATAATTGCTTTTCGATTTGAGCAAATGAATTTAAAGGTTGCTGATGCTTTTGAATGGCAAAAGAGTAATTATAATTAGTAATTATTTTCGACTGTTTATACCAACGTGAGTCTGTGCCTCAAAGTTTGTGCCAAAATTGTACAAAATGATGTTGAGTATGTGTCAGAGGAATTAAAATATAAATTGAGACCGAAATAACAGTATGAAATGGGAATGAGAACGTTCAAAACGTTGATATGTTAACGTACGAGAGGTAAATCGCTCAAGTTTCTGTGAAACTTACAGCAACAGATCTTACACTAAATTCACAAAATAACCCTACATAAAGACTTTCCATCACGCAAATAAACTCTTCACTTACAACAACATTTCATTCTAAAACATCATCACAGTCTTCTCACATTTCTTATACTAATTCCTTTCCTAACTAAAAATGTAAACACTGGTTTGTCACTATCCTTACAAAAGAGATTCATAAACAATATTTACATAAGATTATTCCATAATTTCAGATAAAAATATTCATGTACTTTACGAGTAAACACTCTTAATGAGAAGCGTGATAGGAACCAAAATTAACAAAAATGCAAGTCATGATTTGCTTTGAGTGAAAGTGAAGTAGTATAAAAAATATTATTAAAAAACTTATAAAATATTATGTTTGTCCGATTTTACAGCTGCCTCGTCACTTTACTGGCTTAGTGCGAGTAAAATTGTCAAAAATTATCATTTGGCCCTAGCATGTGTTCACTCACATCTACCGAGAATACAAAAAATATAGGTATAAATGCTCTGAAAGGTCAATTGTTTACACGATGTGCGTGACGCGGTAGGAGGCTTGTTTCTCCTTAAGCACGGTGTCTATGGTTCGATAAACGTTCTCTGGCAAGTGGTCGAGTAGCATCCGAGGCATCACTTGCAATTCCATGAAGTCTTCAGGACATGCCCAGCGCATTTCGTACGTTGGTTCTTGGGTGCGCACTTTCCTGTTGACAGCGAGGTAAGAAATAAATTAATTGACATTTCGATTTCAGTGGTTAACAGAAGTTTGAGCCAAATTGTACCTTTCCTCACTCCCATTTTCTTCATTACTTTGATCAGACATGAGTAAATAACAGAAATATTTTATGTTATTTAGTGTATAATTTAAATAAAAATAGTACCATCAAAATCGGTTCACAAATGTCACACACACGCACGCGCGCACGCACGCACACGCTCACACTTACACACACACAATAGGTAATAGGTACAGTCGAATTGAGAACCTCCTGCTCCTTTTTTTAAAGTCAGTTAATAAAATAACTTTCATTGAAACTTAATTCATAAATAATATGTAAAGGGAATTGACAAGTTACTACTACTAACTTCTCAATGCCCATGCGCTTGCGCCGTACGATGTGCAGAATTCGGCCGGCGGTGAACAGCCGTGCCGAGGAAAACCGTCGTACGAACACGTTGCGGGACACTAGTGCTGCTTCCTGGAAATTCAGGTGTTGTTTTCTTTTGTTGAAACACTTAATAACAAGAAAAGTAGGTCACTGGTAACCTTTGGCAGTATGAATCAAAATATATTTTAAACCTTTTCTTTAAAGTATTAATCTTGCCGTGTTTAATTGATAAAGAAGAGAGTTGTAATGGAAAAAGATTTGATGGTGGTTACAGGAATAAAAGAATATATAAACTTTGTAATACTTCATTCATGGAGGGTAACGGCGTTTACCGTGAAATGAAAATATCAGAACATGATAAGTACGTGGTATCTCGTTTCACTATATAGATCTTAAAAAATCAACTACAAGCTTTACAATGCGATTTTCAAGTGCTTTCTATGTCGCCGCCTTCCGCTTCTCCATAGAGAAGTAGCAACAACGTACTGACAAAATTCAATGATTTACATTGAACATTCTTTATTGAATCAATATCTAAGCACTGCGGCACAAAGAAAAGTAGTGATATTTTCGTGTGCGTACTTTCCATGAACGGGTTAAAATATGACGTAAGCAACAAGCAAAATAAAATCCAACACCACGAAGAACGAAGAATAGACATATACGGAATTGTGATTGAGAACAGATATGTTAATTACATTATTTAAAAAGTACATAAGTGTAAACATTTATGTTATTCGTGCAACACTTACCTCCACAGTAAAATGGAGCATGAGCAATCAACCAAAACAAACGGTGATATAAAACAGCATACGGCTACAAAACAAAACTCGGTGAACACTTTCTCGAAAAATAACTACGCGTCGAATATAAGTCTGAGTTTTTATACGTACTACATCTACTTTCAATACAAACTGATAGCATTTGCAAAACGATCCGAGACGGTAAGTTGTTAAAAGCAAAAAGTTGGTATTTTAGCAGTGTACGTAACTGTACATAATTAGGCATTAAAACACTTGTGTGATGTGCAACCCGCACTCGTATTTCAATGCCTTTATTTAACATAGCATTATTAGCATTATTTAACAGTCACTTCAGCTACAATCTATTTTTCTACGAAAATAAAATCTGATGAATTATCACGTCATGGACCTAAAGTTGTCGTTTATGATATTAGTAATAGGTACTTAATAGTCCTAGGAGGTGGTTGGTAATTTTTCAAATAACCCTGTTTAGATTTTTTTATATAGTATCTGTCAGTATTTTAGGACGTTGCAAACTACACTTTAAACGGGACTAACCAATTTTTTCAAATAAAAATTAAATTGTCTCGTAAAGTTATAGATACAAGTTTTATTTTTAAAATAATTTTCTTGTCAACATCAGACTTATATTCATATTGTATCCACAAATTGTTAAGCACTTGTGTGAAGTCCAGCTAAGTACAGTACGGCACGAACATCAACACGAACACCTGTAGTAAAGAAAGACTCAACTGACAGCACTCACGGTGGACACGCTCGGCACGAGCAGCGCGTCTGTAGAGTCGTCAGAATGGTTGGTTTCAAGGTCTTCCGGCCGCCGCCATGTTGATTCCAGATCGCGAGCTGGTACTCCGAAGAGGGCGTAGCCGAAACCGTTGAGCAATATGCGGTACTGTGGACGAACAAAGAATGTTATTATACTACATTGTATATTAAAGACCGTAAATAAGAGATTACTAACGAGAGTTACTTTTGGATTTTTTTTTGTTCTTGATACATACAACGTATTTCATCACATTCTTGTATGAATAAATAAATATTGTTCACAACACAACAACTATGGATTTTGCAAATGGCGACTATTTTGTTTTTTTATCAACAGATGGCTTTGTGTTGTTTTGATGTTTTTTTTTTGCTTTTATGTTTTTTTATCTACATTTGAACTGCATTCAAACTGCAAGTTTGTAGTCGGAGTGCAGATGAAATGCAGTTTGTCTGTCTAGAGCTAATTCTAAGACTGATCAATTTTAATATTTTGTCAAATAACTTATGCCTTACCTTGGGCAATTTAGTGGCGTGTATGGTCTGAATGACCTTCGTCCGTAGATTTTCGATGCTGTGCACGCTGAGTCGCATTACCAGATCGTCGCCAACACCCACCGTCATTACGAAGCTCTCCGTGTATCGTGCTGCCTCTCGGCTTATTAGACCAGCTGCAAAAAAGATAATTATTATCTACTTTCATTTATTTCTTGTCACACACGTAGACACTCCAGTCATAAGAACTAGATGAGTGTCGACCGTGTTAGATCGAATAAAAATGATTCGAACAGCACCTGTGATCGGATAACCCGGTTACTAGCTTCTAAATAACCCGATCATTTTAGAACTTCATGAGTCATGCGCGCAATATTCGACTTTACAATTATAATTTTAGAGATTATTCAACAATTCACAATATTATTGTTGTCTCGTTCACTCTCACGTGAAGTCCCAACTCACGACACGGTTCGCTTTCTCACTCTTCGTTTGTGTCGAACATTTGTTCGATAGAGCATTCGTTCGATAGAACCTTCGTTCGATAGAACCAAAAAGTCAAGCAGTCTATCAATAATTCATTCTAACTGCTCCGTGCAGAGCATCCATTACATGGTAACTTTGTAATTTATGTATCTGTTTTTCGGTATGTTGTGTTTATTTAAGAGTGCACTAGCCAATATTAAAATAGTAATGAATAATAAATTAGTACAGTAAATTTTACGTTCAATGTAGTTTTTTCGCAAATGTATTAAAAAACGTCGTTTGATACATATTGCGGACTCATAGTGTGGATTTGTCATTTTCACTTGTCTCGAGTCTTCGAGAGCCTCGAGACTCGTGAATAATGACTAACTTTCCGCACTTGTATCAAAAATAACTACAACAGGGGTGGCGTCGGTGATAATACCATGTAGTAAGTACAATAACTTACCAGGTGTTGAAAAGGCATACACCTTGAGATGAGGGTATCGTGGCCTTAACTTTAATGCTACCAGCACTGCTACGCCGGCGCCGAGACTGTGACCTGCAAATGTAGAACACTCCTGTGAACATCTTATGTAATCTCTACAGTGCGTGTGATATTTTCCTTTAAAGAACAATGACTTTTCTTATTACATATAGTCTACTTAGATAATAGAATAGAAATATGATAATATAGTACATATAATATCTTAGATAATAGAATACAAAATGTGGAACTAATTAGTGCAATGTTCACCTGTAAGAATGAGGTCATAGTGTGGGAACTGTTGAAATGCACGGTCCAGCACCGGCATCAACCTCTTCAGCATCTTGGCTGCTCCCATGGCCATGCCCTTGTGAGCTGCTGTGTCTTCTGGCAAGCCTAAGAAAATAGAAATCATTTGTGAACATTAAAATCAGTAACAAGAAACTCTTTTAAATCAGAAGTTTGAAAAATAGTTTGAATTTGAATTTAATATTGAGTTCTTAGATTTTCGCGATTGTTACCTACATACGGGAAATTAAATTATTTTTTTCCACTTCTGACAATTATATTTTGTAAACCATATCACAAAGGCGCTCTTTTTAATTCAGAAACAAAATTCTATTGTCTATGGTACTCGCTACCGAACTGAAAAATACTATTTCGGTTCCAAATCGCGTGTTTTTCAAATTAATTGTGCAGGAGCCCGATTCAGAACTATTCAATATCTTAACCGAATCGTTCGATTGGATATCGTTCTCGAACCGAATTTTCCGGGCTATTTGGAACATTCGAGTTAAAACGTTCGATTCGGATTCGGATACGATATCGTTATCGGAGTTTACGTTTACGGAGTTAGTCGGCGAATATAGGTCATAAGAAAAATTAAATCCTTTTATATACATTTTGAAGACTTTAAAGTCTAAAATATAGGAATGCATTAGTCTCGCATTAAAATAAATTAATAAAATTGAACGACATCCAGATTTTATTTCAAATAATAAAAGATTTCCATATTACATTCTTGCTTTGTAAACAATAGAACGTTCTGTACCTTCATTCTATTTCTGAATAACGTTTGTAGCCTTTCCCGGTCGAGAAGTACGAGTAATCGTACGGGGGTGTGACGTCATTTCGGTTCGGTTTCGAATACGATAGTTTGACGTTCGATTCGGTTATTGTGAATAAAAATGAAAAGAAATCGTACGATATCTAATCGAATCGATCGACAACAGAGCGCGAAACCGGATTCATCCCATAGTTTGTAACCCTTACAGGCGGCATATTTAATTCAAATTGAAATGCGGCCAATGCTCAGGTACCCTCTTCCAACAAAAAAGAATCATTAAAATTGGTTCACAAAATTCCGGAGTTATCGCTTAACATACATACATACAAAAAAATTACAGTTGACTTGAGAACCTCTTACTTTTGTTGGAGTCGGTTGAAAATAGTTTAATTACGTAATAATGAAAAAGTTTCAAAAAATAAATTTCAGTAAATTCTAGAGATAACTAAAATGAAAATAATAATTATATTTACCATCGGCTTCGAATTTTTCCGAGCCAGCAGTGAAATCAGTGAAAATGTCCCTTAAAGAGATCGAACCACGCACAGCTACCACGATACTCTCGCGTTCATGGTCGGCTATTACGCAGAATGGGAGCTGCAAATACATTACCGTATAAATTAAAACACTGATTTTTTTGTTGTGAAAGCCATTGGTGAAAGCACTAACATGTTTAATGCGTAGTTATTGTCCAACTGTACCTCATCTCACTCGCCAAAGGAAAATTGCCTCTTTACACAATCTTTTTACAAACAGATTCTATTGCGAGTTTGTTACACTAAGTTATATTCACCTCAAAAACTCGGTTGTTGAAGGAAGCGAAGATTATATCGTCAGCAGAGAGGCTGGACATGTACTTGACCCCAGCAAAGTGGCATAGGCAGCAGTTGTCATCCGTAACTATAGAGTTCTTCGGCCTATCAAGAAAAGAAGTAAGTAATAAGAGAAAAGTACATGGCATAAGACGTTTTATCGACACGACAGACGTTCTCTCTTTCAATACATATAGGTTTCGCTTATTACACTTTTTAGTAGCAGTAGAGCTCGTTGTGAAAGAGTTCATCCAGGGAAGTACTGCCACTTTACCTATTTCTGCCGCCAAACAGTAGTGTGAGCATTACTGCGTTCCGGTTTCGAAGGGAGCCGAGGTAACGGAGCTGGTGAAATTACAGGCACATTGGACTTGTCAACTTATGTCTCATGGTGGTGGGCGCAGGGACGATGTCCCTCGGATCTTTGCGATTTAAAGCTGTGCGTGGTACTGCAACTATTATGGGCAGGTATGTCACTTACCTACCATCAGGCGTACGACTTGTTCGTCCCGTCACTTGGTTTTTATTAAAAAAAAAAACTTGAACCAATAAAGCTAATGGATAAAAAATGGACGGATTTGTGTACTCTTTTGACGTACTTATGACTTCTTGACTTATTTACATTTACATTAACTAAATATACTAACTAATTATTGTACACTTTGCAACGAGCTTAGACAGCAGGTAGGTATTCAGCAACTTTGTTAAAATATGCTGGCGTGCCAAATTCTTGAGTGACGTTAATTTCGTGGAGTTCTAGAATTCCAGGGAAGTTTCTCATTACAGTATGCTACATTAATATTATTAAACCTAGTTTAATTGATGTGTGAGATAACCACACAGATTACCAAAGAATTCCCTGTACTACGAGTGTTGATGTCAACCCGTGACCATGGAGCGTGTAACCGTTCCGAAATATCGGGAAAATAAAAAGCATTCATAAATGGTAATAAACCTGCAATTATTGATAATCAGCTAGAGTTAGTTTATAGAGTTTCGCAAAGCGATCCCTACTGCCCCCAGTGGGGGCTAAAGAGTTCCAGGGGCCGGTACGGGCCTCGGAAGCAATTGAGGGCGTTGATGATGTCCTGGGAGTGATACCACTTTGAAAAAAAAAACTTGAAATATCTATATGAACTACTACACTACAAATTTTTTTTTCCTTGCGATTTTTTTGTGTCAAGTTAATATAAAAAATAACGTTTTCAATATTTTTTGTGGTGGTGGGCGATGAAGTTTTATATCTTGCCTAAGTGGGCGGTGAACCAAAACGTTTGGGAACCTATGAGCTAGGGTAACGAGTGCCCACTGGGGTAGTACCTAGAACATCCAGACCAGAACTAATTTAAAAAAGTCCGTTACGGAATCCAAGCTCTACCCCGAACCGTTGGGCCATCAAAATAAAGGTTTTTTTTATGTTATCAAGTGATGGGACAAACAAGTTGTGGGCCTGGTAGTAAGCGACACGCCTGTCTATAACAGTTGCAATGCCACTCAGAGCTTTCAATCGCAAAGATCTGAGGGGCACTACCACAACGCCCGTCACCATGAGACATAAGTTGACAAGTCCGATAGGCCTGTAATTTCACCAGCACCTTTACCCTTCAAAACCAGAACGCAGTAATGCGAGTATTATACTGCTTGGCGGCAGAAATAGGTGGCAGTAGGGGGAAGTCCCCTAGTGGCGGACACCTAAGGTTATAAGACATTATAAAAAAAACTGGTTCTAGGAATGTAGATTTATTTATCAATTAACACTGTCAACAAATTTTAAAATCAAAATAAATGAACAAAAGTAGAACCTCTCCATAAACATACTTAAAAATTTAAATCAAACTTTGGTTACAAAAATGGCTACAACTGCAAGTGGCACCTATTACCGGACAGTCTTAACTTCAAGCACTCAGGGCCCGACATCTTTAAAACATCATGCACCGATCGCATTTGTAGCTTTCTGAACATTCAGGGATGTCTGCACGCACGTACTTCATGATCCCATCCACGGCAGCTGGAGCACTGTATCCAGACATCGTCGTGGTCCTCTTAGCATACTACGCCAGTAATCGGACGTATTCCCTGAACGCTATAATTTGGACCATATCAAGGCGAGAGCGAATAGGCATTATTTAGGTTTGTATGCTACATCATCGACCGCATCGTTACTTCCATCGTCCATCAGGTGAGATGGAAGTCAAATGTGCACTTATTTTTGCATAAAAAAGTAGTTTTTATGTTAGACATTTGAGTTAAACTGTTCCATTTTCTTTGCTTTGTATCCACTCTTTCCTTTGGCCTTTACTTCTTTGGTCTGCTTCCCTTTCTCTCTTGTTGCTATTCTGAACTATCTACCCAATTCTTTCTTTTTATCCCTAACATTTTTTTCATTGTCTTTATCTTCAACTTTAATTTTGGTATGGCCATTGATCCCATTTTTCTTTCTTTTTCGTATCTTCCATTTCGTGTTCCCTTTGTTCTTCTATCCTCTAAAACAACATACAACAACTATTATAAAAAAATATAAATAAATACTTACGAAAACACATGTGTTTACTGTCCGGTGTTAAGGGACTACTTCGTGTCCGGTACTAGCGGACACAAAATTCCTAAAATTTCGCACTATATAACAAAAGTTCTTTAAAAATGTACAATAAGTTTTACAAACTTCGAATACTTATAGAACACTACGTATAATAACAATTACCATGAACACTTAAACTCAAAAACATAGCAGTAATACTCACTTTGATCTTACGTGATGCAGGAATACTCTGCATTATTCCTGCCAAAAGCAAAAATCTACTGCGACCACCTTGGTCTCGCCCGTCAGTGCCAAACCGCGTCTCACGATCCTGTATCGCTATGTTCTCCCACGCCCCTTTCACCCGTTTTTTGATAGAACGTATTGCGAGATGTCGAGATAATACGAGTGTCCGACGTTAGGTGCCGTCCGGCGTTAGGGGACTTCCCCCTACTTCCCTGAACGAACTCGTTCACAAGAAGCTCTTCTGCACTAAAGGTAACGAAATTATGAAGCAAGCAAGATATTGTGTAATAATACACAGATAAATATATAGGTGATTGTACAGAATAGAATTACAGAATCTAAGTATGTAGATGTATGAGTTTTTAACATGTAACAATGTATAGAGAGTTGGCCCTGAAACACTGCAAGATTTCTCGTTGCGACCTTGTCGAATCTGCGTTAATGAGTTGTTCAACATGCATTAAGGGCACAGCAAGTATCAAGACGATTTTCTTTTCTGGTATTTTTAACATTGAGTAAACTTAAGGATGAACGGATTAGAATGGCGCTTTCAATGAACAGTTACAGCGAAGACAAAAAGAAATTGTTCTCTTCGGGTAAAATCGTTGTCTCAAGGTGTTTTTTAGTGGGGATAGTAAGTTATAGTCAATATAAAGCCAGAAAAGATAAATAGTTCTCTGTAAAGGCCGATTAGCTTAGAGCATCGATAACATACATACGAGTACTACAATATTAATTATATAAATATAAGTGACAGTACATTAGCACGAGGATATATTTATTCTTTCGGTCCTACCGGTAGAAGCATAAGAATATATTAGTCTTCGTGATCCGACCAGTACAAGCAAATGGAAACGGTCTAAATACCTATTTGTTCGCGTTTATCACTTATATAAATACTTGTATTATATTTAATAAATATTACAGTTTATGAATTATGGTCACGCTTTTGAAATAAACACGCGTAAATAAAGAACTATTTACGGATGAAGGGGAAATTTAAAAAGAAATTGCACACGATGTGCAATTCGAATTGCCAATTACTTTTAATTGCATTCATAAAATCATGAACGATGCGTTGTTCTGTAGTAAAATATATTTTTAATAACCATATTTGGGGTACTTTATTATTATCTGCGTACATTTCGTAAATCTTCTTGTGGTTGATAGGTATTCATATACCAAGCAGTTTGCTCATCTTTTAGGATTGCTTTTCCTTAAAGAAGACGGTTTAATAGCAACAATAACGTTACAACTACCATATCCTTACAATGTCCTTTGTTAACAACATCATATTTAACGAAAATTGGACAATATAAAAAATGTATACGTGTGTATAAAATATACGCATCGAAATTTTTTTTGTTAAATAGCAAGACAATATAAGACAAAGCCTGGTAAACAAAATTCATAAGTAACAAGCCTATAAATCACAAGCAACTTGTAAACTTCGTAATTTGTAAACTCGAAAGATAAGAATATGCGTTATAATCATATGCAAACCGCATGAATCATAAAATAGAAACTTTCAAGGTGGTTTATTATGTTTTTAGAAAACTTCTCAGAATTTATGTCAAGAATAAGTAATCACGAATAAAACTTACCGACAACAACAACACGTCAGATGACGAGCCAGCTTACAAAATCCAGTGAAGCAATGCCTGTATATCACATAAGGCCAGCCGTAAGCTGCGATTGACAACTTGAGATAGTGAAGAGCGTCTTCTAGATTCATCCATGGTGGGGTTTCAGAAAACACTTTGTTGACATCTGTGGTGTATATTGGTTCTTCGTCATTGAGCATTTGAATGCGGCGCATTTCCCGCGTCTCTCTCTTTTGTCGAACTCGTAAGAGCACGCAGCCTGCGACCACGTCAGAGGGAACGAGATCCGTTGATCTGAATAGCGCGCTGAGTAATGCTGTGAACAAAGATTAAGTAAATTGGCTTTGCAGTTCGAAGACTTCGTAGAGTTGATAGTAGTTTACCAAACATAGAGTTGTAATAAGGCCACATTTGAATTACATTACAACTACAACTATTTAGTAACTGCCTCCGTGGCCGAACGGTTACCATACTGGATTGCCACGCAGAGATCCTGGGTTCGATTCCCGGGCCGGAAGAAATATTTGTATGGCCTACTTTTATTTCTCTAGCGAGTTTGGGTGTAATTTGTGGTTGTCTATGCGTGTGTCCATTGCACCCACGACACAGGGTTTCCCTTTTACGGGGCTGTCTTTTTTTTTAAATATTATTTAAATTAGATTACAATAATATTAATTAAATTATAACTTTCATGAGAGAGGTTTAAAGATTGTACGAACGAAATTAGTCGCTCACATTTTTATGCTTACATAAGAGAGATATGAAATTTCACACAAACATAATTTGATTCATGTCATGAATTTCATTCGATAAAAGCACTTTTGACGTATGATCACACGTGCCTTTATTACACCAAAGGTATGAAATGCATACTTTTAATGTACTCACCAGCCACTTGCTGAAATGCTTCCTTTCCATGTTCATCCCTCTTCAACCAGCAAAATAACCATCGGAATCTCCTAGACCACAGTCCTGTTACCTTCCTGTGATGCCGAACTTGGTTGGGGGTGTCTTGCATGTCTCCGTAGCTGACTGAACCCAAGGGATCGAACACCATGAACAGGCCAAATACTGTCAATCCTAGTTGCACCCAGTTAAATAATACTATACCTGCGAGGACAGAACACAGTCTATTAAAAAAGTGTTATATTGTTATATAATCTTTGTTTCGTTAGAAGTAAGTATGAAAGTTATTTGGTTTTGTAAAACAGTTTAAAGAAAAAGTGCACAGAAAACGATGCAACCTCGAATTTTCATAAAAATAACTGTTATATCGACTCGTATTACTTATTTTTATTTATACGAGTCATTTTCTTGTTCTCACAGAGCACATAAATTATTTTCATTTTTATGCTAATTTCCATCACTAAACCCGCCAAGCCGTACCAGAAATAACTCTTGAAACCAATCTTACGCAGAATTTTTAAAAAATGCTCTTATTGATAGCGCGAATTCGGTTAGAGAAAAATAATATCTACTGAAAAAAATCTTTTCAGTGCTCTGATTAACTTACTTAGGAAATGTGGTATTTTATTTATTTCCTGAAAGTATCGGAAATAGATTTTTGCACCTGCAAAATTTATCTTTTTTGTAATAGATGATGAATGAAAATTTATATAAGTAAAGAATCTTTTATCAATTGATAAAGTTTTAATATGACGCGCAAAGTAAGGTTTAGTCCACTTTTTGTATATTCGCATATTATGTAAGGTTTCATAACTTTAGTTAACATAAAGTTTCATAAATAAAGATTAGTAGCAGTAGAGCTCCTTGTGAAGCAGTAATGTGAGTATTACTGCGTTCCGGTTTGGAAGGGTAAGGGTGCTGGTGAATTACAGGCACACGGGACTTGTCAACTTATGTCTCACGGTGACGGGCGCAGTGGCAGTGCCCCTAAGATCTTTGCGATTTAAAGCTCTGAATGGCACTACAATTGTTATGGACAGGCGTGTCGCTAACCACAAGGAGCACGACTTGTTATTTTATATAAAAAAAATGTTTTTTATGAATTATACCAAATCATATTGCTTAAGCAGAAAAAGAACATTAGGACGCTAATGTTTGTAATTACTTTAATAAGCAAAAACGTTTTTGCAAAACCACAATTATGTGAAGTATACTTACTTTGAATGACTATACTGGAGAACTTGTCTGAGACGGAGCACTCGATGACGTCACAGAACATCCACATGGTGCCCATCACGTTAAGGGCTATCTCTGGTAGTACTAGGAACACTCTGCAGACAGAAATATTCTTTTAAAACATTTTCAACAACAGCATATGCAAGTAATGGTTAACTTATGAATTAGGGCTAACTTAAGGGTTAGTTGCGACATCAGAAGGACGCATTCATCAGAGAAAAAATATTCCTAACTTTATACAGACTTACGTTTCACTGCCACTAACGTAACGTGACAGATACAGTTCTAGGGTGTACCTACGCGTGAAACTGTGTTCACTCGCTAGAATGAGTGCCGCTTATCATCAGCTCACTTCGAACCGCACGCGTTCCGCTCGAGGCAAGCTCGCGAATCACATGTACACTATGATTTTTGGAACATAATATGCAGTGGTTACGGCTGCAGCTCGCTAATGAGTATCCGGCTTTATAAGCAACGTTACGGTTACAGCTCGCTAGTGGGTACCCGGCTTAACATGCAATGAGAACTTAGATGTCATGTGTAGGTAACATTGATATACGCATATCGTATGCCTTATGAATTGACTTCTGTGACGTGGGTTCGATTCCCGGTTGAATCAATTTGGAAACAAACTTTTCAAATTTGTTTCTGCTTTGGTTGTTCCAGATAGTGCCCCGGAGTGAATTCCATAGTTCTGGTACTTTTAGTGCAAATAATTGCCTAGATTGACGCCAGGTAATTAATGCGGTTGTTTGGCACATAATAATTATTATTCTTTTTTTATGATACGAAGTGACGGGACGAACAAGTCGTGCGCCTGGTGCACTCAGAGCTTTAAATCACAAAAATCACTGCGCCCGTCTTGTTAAAATATAAGTCGACAAGTCCCATATGCCTATAATTTCACCAGCACCTTACGCTTCAAAACCGGAACGCAGTAATGCTCACATTTTCTGCCTTTCAGCAGAAATAGGTAAGATGACGGTACTTCCCTGCACGAACTCTTTCACAAGGTGCTTTACGTCTACTGAAATGTTTTTTTTTCTCATCCTCGTCCATCGGCAACATTACACAAGAAATACCCTCGACTGCGATCGATTCAATATCACAATGTCAGGCTTATTCGCAAGAATAGTCTTGTCTGTGATAATGGATCTGTACCAATAGATTTTGGTGCGGTCGAGTATTGGCTCCGGTGAATCCTCACATCTTCTGTTACACGAGTCCGTGTTTCAGAGACAGCTCTTGATGTAATATTTTGGCTGTTTGGTTGTATCCACGTGGCTGTATCTATTATTATTATCTGTTTTAGACTCACGCCTCACCCATAGCCTAAAAAGATTAATTTTGAATTTTTAAATGCGAAAGGTGGTATTCTCGGTATTATTATTTCCCGGTATGATATTTCTGATAGTATTATTAGCAATGGTACGGTCGGCTGGGGTCAGGGACTCCAGTTATAGAACTGGCGAACAATGTTATTATTTTAATTATTTAATATATAGCGTGGGAAAGAAGTATAAAAACAGATAAAAGTATTAGAATACCATGTAAATAGAACAGGAAATTTAACAATACACAATTAGGTACGGAGTACCATTATGTTAATGGAAACAATAGATTGCGATGGATGGACAGATGATTCAGTGATTAATTCTTGACAGCTATTTCAATTAAATTTATAAAAGCCCCATGGTATATTCTGTATAATATTAAACAGAAATTTTAGTCGATTAATACTAATTAATATTAAGCAGAAATTTCAAAAAGAAACTTGGCTATAGGAGCTTTATACAATGTGAAGAGCAACTCACGTGTCCCGCCGGAACGGAATGGAAGCAAATTTTTGTATTTCTCGTGCCCGCCGGCGCATTCCGCGGAAGATTTTAACTCGTATTTAGTTTCTACATTACACAATTGATCATAAAGTTCATTAAGCAATGTAACACGCGCTAGCTGCGCGCGGGATTAATGCCCGGCCACATACTACCGGGACAGACGAACGTGTTCATCCCTATGGCTAACCGCAAACCCCGGGTGCATACCTCCGGATCCACCAGAGACGCCCGTGAAGCCGTAGCCTCCCCGGAACTTCCTATCTCTCGGGTTGGTAGATAGAGACACCAGCTCTCATACCTTTTCTACGTAAATATTTTATACGGTTTTTCAAGCGTTTCACACGCCATGGTGAAATGGCTGTACTAGATAAAATTTGTTTGGAGTAAAATAAATAAAAAAATAAATGTATTTATGTAATAATATGTATGTGTATATATATAATAATAATATATAGGTAAGAGATAAAGAAAATAGTAATTTTTACTACAGAGCGTTTTATAGAGAATGGGGCTCTTAATTAGGCATTTAAAATCAATGTTAAGTCAAATAAAATATGTTAAATAAAAAGCAAACAACGATGGGAATTAATGTCGTTTACAATCGCGTGATTTTTAGTATTCTAATGCACTATTTGTAAAAACATATAAATTCCTTTACTTTGCTTAAAGTCCTTTCACTAACAGATAGATATATTGATTATAAGTACAGTCAAAGTCACATTATCTTCATTTCATAGGTAAGCAAATTACACTCCAAATGACTGACCGACGGTTTGGTGTAAATGCGTCATTAAAAGTAATTATCTCATTTTGAATATCAACCGGAATCTCATTATAAAAGCGTAGGTATACGTTGCCCCCTAAATAAATTTGTTACTTTGTGAAGACCACTGCCAACAATAGGTAGTTTATTTTTATTCGTCGTATTCATGTTACATCTGTCACTACTTTTCATAAAAAAAGTAAATTACATTTTCATTAATGTACTGTGACGCTAGTGTAAGAATGTTAATCTCTCACTCAAACACTCTGGGGTCCAGATTGTGAGTTGCCCTAAACGCACGTAGATAATAAAATTCCGACTAAAGATAAAAGGTCTAAACATTTATGTATACAGAAGCAGTGCCTACGGCGTTGAGGACTTTTGGTAGCATAGCCCTTTTTACCCTACAAACAATTGTAGCCCATCAAATTTATTAATGGAGAGCCTTTAACTTTGAACAGAAAATAGGCAGACTTTTCCAGATGGTCAGCCAGTCAGCCGTAAGTAGAGTCACTTACTTGACAACCAATAATGGAGAGACAAGTCGGCGCTGGTCTACGTCAGTGATGGTGCCCCTCGCGGACTGCATCGCGAGTGCCGCTAATAGCAGCATCAGAACTGCTTGCAGTGCCAAAGTACTGCAGAGGTACAGCCGCACAAATGCGCCACCATGCCAACCCTCTGACCGGCACTGCCATGTCACTGGGAATATCACTTCCACCACCAGCGCGATCAATACTAGCCTGCGAACAAATATTCAGGTTTAGAAATTATTAATCTACCGAATACCGAATTCATTTTTAAATACATTGACGGACACATAAACTGCATAATAGTACAGGTGATTTTGAAACAAAAACATTTATTATGAATTTTACAGGTTAACATGAATAGTTACGCAAACTCTTTACATTTATTTGAGTGGAAAAGTAAAGACTGGTTCAAGTCTTAAAAAGGTAGTGTTCGTTGAGTAGTTTTAGTTTGCATAAATGTTCACTCAAATGTTAAATTTGAAGTGTAAAGACTGCTGACATGCCATTCAACGGCTTAATTTGGTGGCAAATCAATGAAGATGTATGTGGAGATGTGACGTCATTATCATAAACTTGTAGCTCTCATTAATGCTAAACTTTGTCAACTATCTCACACTAATTTTATATTACGTTTAATGACGTATAAAATGGCAATCAACACGACCGTTTTAAGCGGAATTGTACATCGGACGTGATTAGCACATGAATAAGCGTAATTTTAGACTCTTACCGCAATATGATACTACGATATTAAGATGTTTGTGAAACAATCAGGAACATTGGAGTAACGACTGAAATAAATTATTTCTTTGATTTAGTAATAGACATAACAATTTATTATAGAGGTAAAGACTAAATAACTATGACAAGGACCCTAATTATTCAAGCGACACGAACGAAAACACTAGTGACGTTAATTATATGTTTTTCGTGACTAATAATATAAATATTGTATACTATAGTATAAAGGTTTAGGTACTTAATTAAAAGTAAACAAACTTCAGATGTCAGTAGGCTAACCGGTCAAATACAATATTTAGTAGTGAGTTTCATACGTCGTATTACTGCTGTCCTCTTTAATTAATAATAATAATAATAATAATAATAATTTGCTCGCATGTTATTAGCTGTCATCTTTTTATGGGCTGGATTTTAGGTTGTTTATCGTAGGAAAGTTGGGATACGTGTTATTAAACATCTTTAATAAAATATATTTATATATATTATTTTATATATATTTATAAGTACTAAATATATATATATATTTAGTACTATTTTAAACGGGTAGTTTGAAATGTTGTCCATTACCTAGAACTATTTTCAATATGCTCATTATAATTTTACAATAAGTAACCAAGTACTTAATATCTTATAAAAAAAACTACGATTTGTTTACATTTAGTTAATTAGGTACCTAAACCTTTGTAGTATAAAATGTTCACGCGCTACAAAATATGTTAGACCTGCTATGTATGTATATTACAGAACATAACTCCGAATTACATTCAAGGTGCTTGCGTTAGCCGCAATAATAGAAATGGGGATGCACGCATTGTTATTAAACAAGGCTTTAATTAAAAACAGTTGAAACGGATCCCAAATTGAGTTAGTTGTTACAGTCATTAATGAATAATATGCAGCCGAGATAACAGATTATAATTTTATAGTATTACGTATATAGAATTCTCAAAAACAACGGACAAATTCAATGGAATCAACATTACTACAAGAGCGGAAATGGATTAGACTGATTCTATATGGAGTCGCGCAAGGCAGTGTTTTGGGATCCTTGCTCTACCTTAATAAATAGCTCGTCTAAAACATCCTCGATAGTGTTCTATGCAGACGTATGTAGATGTAGATGAATGAATATACGTCTGTATCTCCAATGTGTATCTTTGTATTCTACTTTTGTCTTACTACTTTTCTCAATATCGAATTCATAAATTCAGTGTTTTCTAGTTTTTCTTAAAGCCATTATGTTAACGGATTGAAACTGTTTTTTTATTTATATACGTAATTACGATATTTCATTTAATTGAGAAAAGTAGTAAGACAAACGTAGAATACAAAGTGATACACATCGGAGACACAGACATAACAAAGTTTCTAAGCATTACAGATCGATGACAAAATAAACTGGAAAGCTCAAATAGAGAGTATTTATACTAAACTCAACACATATGCATACACATCATACATGTTTAGCGAAGTTGCAGACAGACACTCGATTCTACAAGAACACCACGGTTATGTTGCTTCCTTAACAGATAAATATTTTAGGGTAATGCAACTGAAGTGAACAGTTTTCCAGACACGACAGCTATTTAAAACAAATTGTCGATTGAAAAGAACAACAACTCAAATTTAATAAATCTTCCCGTACCTACTTACTTACTGTTCCTTTACTTTATATTCACAAACTGTCGTATACTTCCGAATGCACCCACACTTGTTGATACCTGTTCTAAAGCCAAAACGTTACAACCAATTTCGTTTTAAGGCTTGCAACATTAACTAGAAAACTACCTTCAGGAATAACTTGTTCTATGAATAAAAGTATGTTTGTAAGGGCTATATAAAAGGGCTTTAAATTTATCAAAAGTACTAATGTCTGAGGAAAACCTTCTGTTATTTAAAAAGCAATTGACCTATTAATTCAGTGGCTAACAAACGTTACACAATGTATTTTCTAATCGTTTTCGTTTGTGTGCAATGATAATAAATCATTCATCATTGTTTGATGTTACTCAAATATTATTATCGCATCTATGTATACATTTTACAATTATTATTGGACGACGTCCGTGGTCGAGTGGCTTGCACACCAGTTTTCATGGTGTCGCCATCTCTGAGATCTCGGGCTCGATTCCTCGGGTCTGCGTGTTTGCGGTACCGTTGTCGATCTCCATAACACACGTGCTTTAGTTAGTTTGGGATCAGAGCAACGTAGGTAATGTTGTCTAATGTTTATATTATTTTATCCTAATGGCAATTTTACCATCGCCGTGCTTAAATTATAGGCTGTCTTATTAGGGGTCAGTATCATATTAGATCCATGAGTGATCCATATTTCTAAAAAAAAATTTACTTCTATAGAGGCCTGAGGTTTTCGCGATTACTACATACTGGAAGTGAAACCATTTTTTAACCAACTTCACAAAAGGAGGTTATTTTTTATCGTATGTATGTTACGCGATAATTCCGACGATTTTGAACTGATTAGGTAAATGCAATATGGCGTGTATCTATGTGGAGGGTGTGTAATAAGTGCCTACTTCGTCCTCTTCCATCTGCATGAACTTATTATTATTATTATAAAATTTTATTTTACTCGGAGTTCTCCGGTTTACGCACGTGCAAAAACCAAGTGCATATCAGGTGGGGCTGTTAGTGGAGAAAAGTGGGATCATAGCATCAAACTGCAAGAATTTTTTAACAAGGTGACAAGTATTCAGGATGGCTGCTTTCTGTAAGAGGAGATATACGTTTGGTGGTAGGTCCAGGGAATGCAGCAACTAGTATAGCTATTTTGGAATAACGCCTAAAGTCGAAATAACTATTGGCATTACCATTACGTTCTTGAGATGCCCTGATTCTGGTGATTTCCTCTTATAATTCTGTATATTTAGAGAGTTTTTCTGCTATTGTAGACTGCAAATTGTGGGTGTTTGTTACGGCAATGTCTATTAAAAATCCGGTTTCTTATTATTATATTTATTTTACACTCTCGCTTCTCCCAAGTCCTAAAAGATAATAATAATAATTATTATTATTTATTATCATTATTATACTGCTCTCCTAGTCATAAATAACGCATTTGCATTTCGTTTACTTTCGGTTCGAGATATTGGCATCTAAAGTTATATTGTCACCTAAAAATATGTCAGTTACGCTTCAACAATAAATCTGAAATGAAATAAGAAATTTAAAAAGCGATTAGCGGGGGTGTCGCTAATCCCCGGATTTGTCAATATGGAACTCGATTACGTTACTTATTATAAGGAGGGCAGTATACATATTATAGTCTATAAATAAAATAACTGAATGTGAATGTGAAGAAGTGAACCCTAATACGCATAAATTGTACCGGTGCTACAATTTAATTTTACCCGCGATCGATGCCTTACTTGTTGCTGGAGCATTAATATGGATGAGTTTTCGGGTTACGGCAACCTCAGGCCCTTCAAACGATCGGTCCCTAATCGTTTCTCGATTGTAACGACATCGGTTTGATTGCCTTAATTCCTTCGAATGCCAATCGCTTGACTTCTTACCCCTAGCAATTCAGTTGATTGCTTTTGTCAACAATAATAATTGTTCGGTTCACGATACAATTCATTGGCTAATGGCGGTGACGTACCTATTTCTCTTCGTACAATACTTTTAAGGAAAGCTTGAGTACATAAATAATTACACTAACGGACCATTGAATTACAAAAGGTCAATGTAGCGGACACATAATCTGCATCAAATTACCGAAAGATTATAGGCAAAAATGTTTATCGAACATGCAAACTATTTGGATTTATTTGGAAAAAAGGGAAAAGTAAACAATTGACAACAATAGACGATAGTATAGTAGGAAGCTTGTATCAATTACATACAATCTTCACAATAAGACAAGACAATAAGAGCTACCAAAAAAATATACTGGCTAATTTGTTAAGTTTTCAGTAGAAGCTAAATATGGTGTTTTTGGGACCGTAAATTATTCCAAGCAAAATTAGGCAGTACTGCAATGGCGTTACAGCTTAAATTAAATGTTTTAGTTTTTTATATTTCGTTAGATGTCACTACGTTTGTATAGGTTAACTTCGGACATTTTTTTAGTGGTTTTTGTATTAGACCCGATGTCCATTTGTTGGTAGGTCAATGTAAAGGACACGTATTTTTTTATTTTGTCTAATTTTTGGTTTAAGTTTTTTATTTTTATTTTTGAAATGTTGCTTGTTTCAAAAAATCAGTGATAAAAATGTCGTATTTTGATTGAAGTTTGATTTTTGTTTATGGATAGAGAGCGAGTGCCATTATCTGGATTGTTTATTTACGATTCTTGTGAAATTATATGAAAATATGAAAATTGGGAACGGATTTGTTGTGGCAGGCAGCTGAAATCTTCTGGTAGATTTAGATTTGTTAATGCTGTTGCAGTACATTCGGGAAAACTACTTGTAAAACATTGTACATTGGCTGAGCCAATATTCTAG